CTTACCCCCCACCCCTGCCCCCCCAGGACTGTCAGGCACCTTGCCAACAAAATTCCCAGGGCGAGCTCGGGCGAGGCCAACACCTGCATGTAGGACCGCTCGGCCTCCCATAATTTTCCGCCACTCTGGAGGCTAAGCCCCAGGCAATGCGAACCGCAGCTGGCTGCGCGCGCGACGCCCCCTGGGTTGCCGCCCCGTGCGCTGGGAGAGTGCCCCGAAAATGTCGCCACGTTGCCGCCCGTCGCCCACTTCGTGGCAGCCCCGTCGCTGCCTCCCACCTCGTGCACCCGTGAGACTGCCGAAAAGTCGCCACGCTGGCACCCGCAGCTGCCTGCTGCCGCGCTGCTGCCTCATGCGCTGGGTGGGTGCCCCCACGATCCGCCACGTTGCCCGCTGCCGCCCGTTGCCGCGTCGTGGCCCCCTCTTGCGCTGGGTAAGTACGCGGAGAATGGGCCACACTACCGCCCGTTACGACCTCGCTACCGCCCTGCAAAGACCAGCATGGGCTGACATATCGCGGCGATCGCGCGGGCCATGAAAGCAAGAGACGCGCCAGCGAGCCCAAGCGCGCGCCTCGCTCGAAACATCCTCGCCAAGAACGGAGGCTTCAGCTCCGCACCAGCGGCCCCCTAGCGCGGCGCTCAAAGGCGGCGTTTGCTATCTCGCCAAGCCCGCAGTGCGCCAAAAAACAACAAAAGCCCGAACACCGAGTACAAACCTACCAGTTTTGCAGGTCCGCGGTCGGTTTCGAAACCCGCGAAGTTTGCAAAACCGAACCCCGCTTGCCCGAGCAGAATTACCCGCAAAAGCCGAATATACCAGATACCATTTAAGAAAACAGGTTGCACTTCCCCCACCCAAAAAAAAACACATGCGCTGCAATCGAACGCTCGTCAAAACCGCCAAAACTAAAAAAAACATTCCCGCCCGTTCGATTAGACGTTGCCAGTCCGGGGGGTTCGGAACCACAGCAAGACCTCCAAAACCGATTTACGCTTTCGAGGCCCGAGGCCGGGCGTTCAACCCTGCAGGGGGAGACGGGCAGGCAGAGGAGCGACACGCCGCCCGGCGCACAGGCGAGATCCGGCCGCAAGCTTTGCTCGCTGCTGGTACGAAGGCAAGAAAATGAAGCATTGAAGGCAGAATTCACCGCGAGCTTGCGCCAGCTGCGTTCGTCGCCAGCGCAGATTTGCCCGGCGATTTCAGAAAAGAAACGCGGGGGGATTTTCTCGCATAGACCCTCCGCCCACTCGTGCCTGGGTCGTTCCCGCAGGTTTCCGCAACTCCCCACTGGCGGGCCGCAGGCTGCGAGTCTCGAAAACCAGAGCGCGCAGCACATCACGGTCGCCAGCCCAAACCCGAGCAGCTGGTGTCGCGGGACTTGAGATGCGCAGCTCGATCGCCTGGCCTGCTCGAGCACTGTCTTGTCCGCACCCTCGAGACTGATGCGTGAGGTATATGTGGGATACAACGTAGGCAGGGAGCTTGGAAACCATCGATTCTTCTTCGCCCCACCTTGTCTAACCAAGCAGCGTTCAAGGAATGCATCGTGTCGCAAGACTTCCAGCTGTCTGGCGTTGGTGATCGATCTGTGCTGCCACGTGCGTCCACATTGCAAAATACACCCCGTGTCCATCACGCTCGTTTGTAAGTTCCCCCCAAAGTTCGCCTGCGCTGCACAACGTTTCCCCGGAGTACTTAATGCGCCCTTTCGCTGCGATAGCGGCGCCAGCAAGGGCGGCCACTTGAATATCGCATTTCACGCACATCATCTGGAACTTATATGAACACAAGTCTGCCCCAAAGATGTCAGCAGCGCCCGCAACAGCCAACAGGAGCGATTGACATTGAATCGGGATGCACCCACCAGCGGCGCGGCGTCAGCATACAGCAGCATTGACATGTGCCCCTTGTCCACTGACCACAACCGACACCACCAGAACGAAAAGGAAAGGACACCAACGGCATCCCGGCGAGATCCGAAGTTCTCGCGGTCACGCACGGCACGTGCGTCGCCCGCCCACTGCGCAACATAACACTGCCCCCATTACTGCCGATGTGGCGCGGGTTCTGGGGGACCGAGATCGCGAAGTGCAGCGAGCATGGCTCCGACGTGGACTGGACCAATGTCTTCTTCCACGCGAATGCCCGCATGGCCGTTTCTCGATCCATCCGCTTCTGCGCGTGGACAAACGCAGAACCTAACAAAGTAAAGCGAAACAGCTGAAGAGCCACTGCGCGCGCGGTTGCCTGCTGTCGCAGCGTGGACAACTGAAGGCCGGAGACGCCGCGTGGCCAACAACGCAGGGCGACCAGCAGCGACGAGAAACACCCACGAGGATCAGCACCATCGACGCGCACCTGCACCACGATGGGCACCAGCGACGCCCACCACCCATTCCCATCGCTTGCCCCTCGCCCTTCAGACCCCCTGTCTCGCCCCCCTCTCGTTCGCCTTCTGCCCGCGCGTCGTTCGCCCTTCGCACCTCGGCCCCTGCGAGCGCCCCTCGCCCCTCCCACCCCCTCGCCCTCCGCCTCCGCCGCCCGCCCTGCCCTGCCCCGACGCCCCGCCAGCGCCTACTAGAAAGGAGGGCGGCCGACGGCGATGGAAATGGGACACAAGGAGGGGAGAGGGGAGAGCACGAAGGAGAAACGGGAGACCTCACTGCGAAGACCTTCAAAAGGGATTGGGGGATGACGGGCCGAGCTTCTGCGGACCGAAACCCGCTGCAGGGCCCCGCTCCCGCCTCCTCCCCCCCCCCAGCCTCAGAGCACGCAACGTCGCCGGCCCCCGCGCACAACAGGACCTGGACACGGGCGCGGGTTTGGCTCGGAGCAGCGCGGCAAAGACAACTAACAGAAAGAGGAAAGTTCAGCGAGCACACCTTCGGGGCCCACTCCAGACCCCAGTAGTGGCACAGAGATCGCACAGCTCCAATGAGGAGTTCCCACCACCATGGAAGAAAGAAAGACACCAAATCCAGATGGCACTTCAAATTCGTCAAGAGTTCGCTTCAGCATCCTCTACGGCGACTCGCACCACGAGAACGAGATTTGAGCGCTCATCCAGTCGCCCATGCGCGTCCACTCAACAGTTCCTGCCAAGGCACGGGAGGCCGCGCAGAGCTAGGTTTCCCCTAGCTGCGCCCCCCTTGGCAGACAGACCCGCTAGCATCCGCCCAGGCAGCAACCACCGGACACGCGAGCACATCGCCGAGAAAGAGAATCGCAGATGACCGCAAGCTCGACAGCATTGCGTCGGTCAGCCCCGGGGCGGGAGGAAGGGCGCGACAGCGCATGGAATGTAAGCTCACCGTAAACCATGGCCAGCCCTGGAGAGGCCCCACGTAACGGGCACTGGGACGAGAGCATCTCGGAAAAGCAAAGCTCGGCACGATGCCAATCGGAACGGTGCACATCGCCAAACAAAGCGTCGCGCCACAGAACCTTGAGGTTTGGGGCGTCGGCAGTCGGCCCCGAGGACGGCAAGAGTCGCGACGGCCACGGCACGGGCCACCGCGCGCTTCAGTCCGCACGCAGGAAGGAGCCGGCTGCCGCGATGAGCCAAGCAGCATGGGCCGCCAGCATCGCTGGCCACCAGCGTCGCCAGTGCCGCTGGCCGCCAGCCAAGACGAAAACGAGCGAGACTGGATCCATTGCCCAAGCCGCGATCGCTTGCTTGGCCGAGCTGTGGAGGTATTTCAACGTCTTGATGAGAGCAGGTGCGTCCGCGACGATAGGCTCTGACAACCTGGCCGCCAAGACAAAAAAAAAAGGGCCAGCTGCGTCGAGGCGAGACTATCGGGGAAACGGCTGCGCAAGAGCGACGACCGTCCTGAAAGAAGCGACTTCGTCTCGGGCGAGGGGGGGCCTGGCGAGGTCGCGCGGCCCTGGCCCAGAATCTAGGCCTGCGGCCAGCATGCTTGGATCCTCCCTCCCCCCACTAGCCAAACTCGAAACACTCGCTCAGGGACCTGCCCTAAAACGCATCCTGAAAGCGTCAGCGCCTGCCACAGTCAATTTCCCCCCCCGCACAGGCGACGATAACACCTCGGTATGTGAGCATTGCGGATCACCACAGCAAGACTGCGCCTCCACTTGGCAAGCGAGGAAAACAACACTCAGGAATGAGCAGAAAAGAGGAAGGGGACCAGGACAAGAGAGGGGGGAGGAGCCGGAGGAGACAGGGGAGGAAAAAGCAAAGCCACGCCTCAAGTGGAGGATCGGCCGGTGCATCCAAAATGTCACATTGCCAGCTGCAACGTGACTAAAGAATGGCTGCGGCAGCTCCACAGCAACTACAAGAGAGGCACACAAAGCGAATGAGCACCTAGACAAAAAATCATCATCTGGCGGCACCGTTGCCGGGTGGACGCTGGCGTGTCGCACCAAGCGCGGCAGGGGGGCAAGAGAAGGAAAGAGACGAGAAATAACAAGGAGTTGGAAGGAGGCGAGCGGAAAGGGGGAGCACAATCACAGCCAGCAGGCTCCATGTGCAAAAACGAGAATAGCTACAGGCAGGAACCGCGACTGAAAAGGCAGCGGCCTGTACAGACAAACGCTGGGATTTCGAAAGGTTTTGGACCAGAGGCACCACGGCGCTCCGGATTGGCCGAAACTCCAACGGCGGCAGAGAACCAAGCCCGTGGCACAGGAGCCCGGGGTCGGCAGCCTGTGGCCAGGGAGAGGCCAGATTGGCGTGCAAAGAACACTATACATAATACCTCACATGCAACAGAGCGACGAAGGAGAGGCGAGCGGAGAACGCAGCGAAGGGAAAAGGAAAGGGGAAGAGGAGCATCCTCGGAGCAGCATCGCAAGGCTCACAAGTGCCCTCAAAACTCGAAGCCGCGGTACGTGTCTCTGCCGCCAAACCCAACGTCACAGGATGTAATATCGTCGACGCCGTATACGGCCTTCGGTATCAGTCGGCAGCACCGTTCGCATGACGTTGTGACCCAATATTGGCCGCTCGCTCAAGCCTAGCCGCAGCCCCAGTACTATTCATTGCCACCACAAGTGTCGTAATATACAGAGTCGCAGCCGCCCACGTGGTCGACGATCGCGTCTGTCATCAACGCCATCCGGAGACTGCCGGTCGGAGAGGCAGTCGGAGCCTGTGTGGTGTCATGCTCCCGTGTGGTATCCTCAATGGGCAAGGTGAAAGACGCTCCATTCACCTCCATCTCCACATCCCGCTGCTCCTGCGTCGGTGTCATTTCCCCCTCGGTAGCCGCTACCAGAATACTGTTGCCTCGTCCATTGCCCATGTACCCTGTGATCATGATCGTTGGCGGTTCTGTCAGCGCCTGCCACAGTAAATTGGGCCACGTCTATCAGCACGAACGCCTCCACCAGCCTATCCACTGCTTCCCAATCAAGCCCAAAGCAAGGTCGCAGAAGCGATGTCAACAGCAGCAACAACAACAACAACCATTTTAAGGCTGTACCCTCTTACTTGCCCGCGAGTCATTCAACACGTATACCCTACACCCTCGAAGCCCGCCCTCTTCGTCTTCGAGCACACCCCTTTCGGGGGGATTATTTCTCTTTGTTGGGGCCGGCGGGCTTGGACGTACGGGCAAACCGGAACGGGCGGACAATCCTTCGGGGGCGTACATCTCTCTGCCCGCCATTGTAATTGGCGCGGGCCCTGCAAGAGGAGGAAGGGAAGAACGAGGGAGAGCGGGAGGAAGGGGAGGGGGAAGGACGAAGGAAGAGGGAAGATACCACGTTGTGAAGGCGTCCTTGGCGCGCGCGTGGTTCCTGAGCGCCGAAACGCAATTCCAGAAAAATTTGTGAGGACGTCGCACGCGAGAGCGCAGTCCTGAGTACATTGTGAGGAAATCTCGAGGCGGGAGCGGGGGCCCTGACTAAGTTGCGAGGAAGTCTCAAGCGGGAGCGCCGTTCCTGAGCAAATTGCACGGAAGTCTCAGGCGGGAGCGGGGGTCCTCACTAAATTGCGAGGAAGTCTCAGGCGGGAGCGCCGTTCCTGAGTCAATTGCGCGGAAATGTCATGCAGGAGCGGGGGTCCTGAGTAAAATCCGAAGAAATCTCAAGCGGGAGCGCCGTTCCCACGTAAATTGCACGGAAGTCTCAGGCGGGAGCGAGGGTCTTGATTACATTGCGAGGAAGTCTCAAATGGGAGCGCCTTTCCTGAGTAAATTGCGCGGAAGTCTCAGGCGGGAGCGGGGGACCTGAGTAAAAATCGAGGAAGTCTCAAGCGGGAGCCGTTGTTGTTGTAGCCCGGGGGGCAGGGGCACAGTTTGAGCAGGAAGACTTTCATTGAGAAAGAAAAAAAAAGTGCGAGCCCCGGGGGTGGCACTTCAATCGAAAAAAATCAATGTGCACTGGCGGGGGGGGGATCCACAATAATTATTCTTCAAGAATGAGAGTTCAACAACAACAACAACAACAACAACAACAACAACAACAACAACAACAATTGTACCATCATGCGTCATGCTTCCACATGTCACATGCATCCTTCTGGATACCCAACCCCATCATAGGGGAATCCTTCTGGCACGCGGGGCCCGGCGGTCCCTCGCCCAAATCTCCCGCCCAAGAAAATATTGCCACCACCTCTTCCGAGGAACTTCGGCACCCAGAGCTCGGACGGCACATCGCCATCGCAATCGCCCTGCGCACGCCCCGCATCTCGGAGGAGGGGGGAGAGGACGAGGCGAAGAGGGAAGATGAGGGAGAGGAAGACTGAGAGGAGGAGGAGGAGGAGGAGGATGGAGGAGGAGGAGTAGGAGGAGGAGGGGGAGGAAGGAGGAGTAGTTGTAGCAGCAGTACCTCCTAGGACGAGGTGGTTCTTACTCCTCGTTCAAACTGTTACGCCAGCATCCTGCGGCCTCGGCGCGTGACCCTGGACGTTCACGCCCCCAGGCGCTGCCGCTCCCATGCTCGCATCCTCCACCTGCCCCTCCATACCCTCTCAAGGAATCCCTGAAGTCAATACTTCGACCCTCGATCCCTGGAGCCCCTAGAAGTCATCCGTCCTCCTTCTTCTCCTCCTCCTCCCCCTCCACATTATCTATGCTACGCAAAAACGATAGTTATACAAGAATTCAGGTTCAACAGGGACTCCTGGAGGCCCTCCAAAGGCGATGCCGAAACGAGAGCCCCAGTCTTGAGTAAAAGGCGAGGAAGTATCAAACGGGAGCGACGAGGGAGGACGGAAGGGAAGGGAGGAGGGAGGAGGGAGGAGGGAGGAGGGAGGCAGGAGGAAGGAGGAGACAAGGGGGACGAAAAGGGAAAGGAGGAGGGAGGAGGATAGAGGAGGGAGGGAAGAGGGGCGGGAGAGGGAGGAGTGAGGAGGGAGAAGAGGAGGGGGCGGAGGGATCAAGAGGGAGGAAAAAAAGAGGGGGGAGGAGGGAGGAGGGAGGAGGAGGGAAGCGGAGGAGGAGGAGGAGGAGGAGGAGGAGGAGGAGGAGGAGGAGGAGGAGGAGGAGGAGGAGGAGGAGGAGGAGGAGGAGGAGGAGGAGGAGGAGGAGGAGGAGAGGAGGAGGAGGAGGAGGAGGAGAGGAGGAGGAGGAGGAGAGGAGAGGGAGGAGAAGGGGGAGGAAGGAGGAGGGAGGAAAGAGGGACGGAGGAGGGGGGAGGGAGGAGGGAGAAGAGGAGGGGGTGCAGGAAGGAAGAGGGCGGAAGAGGAGGGAGGGGGAGGAGGGAGGAGGACGAGGAGGAGGAGGAGGAGGGGGAGGAGGAGGGAGGAGGAGGAGAAGGAGGAGGAGGAGAACGACGACGACGAGGAGGACGAGGAGGACGAGGAGGACGAGGAGAAGAAAAGGGCGCCAATCCAGCGTAAAACGGGAGGAAATCTCGGGCGGGAGCGCTGGTTTTGTCGGGACGGGGGCTATCGGCGGCGAGCAAGAGCACCGCCTTGAGTAAAGAAGGGGGGGCGCCTCGAGCGGGAGCGTTGTTGTTGCTGGGTGGCGGCGCCGATGAGAGAAAGAGTAGCGCGCCTGTCCAAGGTAAAAGGGAGGAAGTCTCGAGCGGGAGCGCTGGTTTTGCTTCGATGGCTGCTTTCGGCGGCGAGCATGAGCACCGACTCTGAGTAAAAAAGGAGGACGTCTCGAACGGGAGCGTTGTTGTTGTGGGGGGCCGGTTTTGACGATACTCCAAACCGCTCCAGAATGAGCTTCATGTTCGATGAAAATGCAGCCAGCGAGAGCGCCCGGGCGCCTAGAAAGGGTCCAACAATAATATGTGTTGAGTTGAGTACTGAACATTCAACTCCACCACCACCACCAACAACAGCAACAACAACAACAACAACAACAACAACAGCAAGAACAACAATAACATTAGCATCAACATCACAACAACAACAACAACAACAACAACAACAACAACAACAACAACAACAATCATTTAAGACTGGGGACACTCCGTTCTCACCAGTGCCAGGGTTTTCATAGGAGGCGGGCAATACCCCCACTTTGTGGGGGGGCCGGTTCAAGCTCTACCAAATTTCCAAACGACTCTTCGCCACCACCCACACCCAGCTTCCCGCCCTATGACGTTCGGACACTTCACTTCGTGGCATGCGGACGACCGTGGCTACTATTCAGGGCCCCGCGGCCGACGACGACGGCGTGCGCGCGCGAAGAAAAAACGAATGTGTCCCGCATGGTATTATTTGACAGGGATGATGGCCCTGGCAGGTGCGCAACCGTTGTCGCAGAAGTTCGAAAAAGTTGCTCGCAAAAGCCCGTTTGACAGAAATGTTTAAAAAGTGTTGGGTTTCCTACGAATCCGCAAGAGCGCGCGGGATGAGATTTTGACATTTTTTTGTTGAAAAACCATTGGTTTTTTGATGTTTTTATGTTAAAATCGCTCCGAACACTAAGCTTTTGGAAGGATTTCGTCTTGCGCGCGCGAATGTCCACTTTACCTTATTTTTTGCAAGGGATTCTTGAAATTTGATTATATTAGAACAAGAAATGTCATTTTATAGTGTTTTTTGCAAGGGAAAACGGATTACAACAAAACAACCGGATCTGGATCACATCGTTTTACCTGAGGCTTCCTCACGAAAATGATGAAAATGTAGCTGCGGCCTAGGCGGCGCAGGGGGGGCGTGCACCAGGGGCCCAACAATAATTATTCTTTAGAATTAAATAATGTTCAACAACAACAACAACAACAACAACAACAACAACAACAACAACAACAATTACTAGCACGTGGGGACACTCCGTTCTCACCAGTGCCAGGGTTTTCATAGGAGGCGGGCAATACCCCCACTTTGTGGGGGGGCCGGTTCAAGCTCTACCAAATTTCCAAACGACTCTTCGCCACCACCCACACCCAGCTTCCCGCCCTATGACGTTCGGACACTTCACTTCGTGGCATGCGGACGACCGTGGCTACTATTCAGGGCCCCGCGGCCGACGACGACGGCGTGCGCGCGCGAAGAAAAAACGAATGTGTCCCGCATGGTATTATTTGACAGGGATGATGGCCCTGGCAGGTGCGCAACCGTTGTCGCAGAAGTTCGAAAAAGTTGCTCGCAAAAGCCCGTTTGACAGAAATGTTTAAAAAGTGTTGGGTTTCCTACGAATCCGCAAGAGCGCGCGGGATGAGATTTTGACATTTTTTTGTTGAAAAACCATTGGTTTTTTGATGTTTTTATGTTAAATCGCTCCGAACACTAAGCTTTTGGAAGGATTTCGTCTTGCGCGCGCGAATGTCCACTTTACCTTATTTTTTGCAAGGGATTCTTGAAATTTGATTATATTAGAACAAGAAATGTCATTTTATAGTGTTTTTTGCAAGGGAAAGCGGATTACAACAAAACAACCGGATCTTGATCACATCGTATTACCTGAGGCTTCCTCACGAAAATGATGAAAATGTAGCTGCGGCCTAGGCGGCGCAGGGGGGCCGTGTGCACCAGGGGTCCCAACAATAATTATTCTTTAGAATTAATAATGTTCAACAACAACAACAACAAACAACAACAACAACAACAACAACAACAACAACAACAACAACAACAACAACAACAACAACAACAACAACAACAACAATCATTTTACCCGAACGCTCAGTGTTCTCACCAGTGCCAGGGTTTTCATGCGACGCGAGACAATACCCCCACTTCGTGGGGGGGCAGTTCAAGCTCTACCAAATATCCAAACGACTCTTCGCGACCACCCAAACCCAGCTTCCCGCCCTATGACGTTGGGACACTTCACTTCGTGGCGTGCGGACGACCGTGGCTACTACACTGGCGTGGGGTACACACCCACAGAACTTGGTCACTTATTCGGGGCGCGCGTGTGCCCAGCATCCTGCA